TTATTATTATTATTCCAGACTGTCGTTCATTCTATCCTGGAACATAATATTATGAAAAGGGTCATGATGAAACTATAATATATCCTATGATTACTATGACTCTAACAACCGTGGATTTTAATATAGTGTATTCTTTTCTCTTGTGATTCCCAACAGATCCAGCCCCCTGTTGATTGACCCTGGCTACCATAGGGACCTTTGTAGATCTCCGATAAGAACGGTTAAGCCACTGAATATAAATCTCCTCTGTTGATGGAAGAATGAATGAACAAAGGGGAACTTCTTTTTGTTATGCAAATCGCGCACTTGCGCCTTGGAATCCGTCGACAACGTTATTGACCCTACGGTGAGGGGAATGAAACAGGTGCTTTTGAAGCAAGAGCTGCGTGAAATGGGACCTATTAAAGACAATCTGTTTTTTTTTCAAAACAAGCAGAGAACACTGATAATGAACAAAATGTTCGGGAAAAGCATACCGCAATTTTTATTCTGCTGGCAATAACACTATCAAAATCATAATTTGTTTAAACTCACCCTTGAAGACACCGTCTATATAACATAATTTTCAACGTGAAACATCTACGGGCCAAAGTAGTTGCAGAGGTAGATTTACAATACAGTCACAATCCCCACCATCATAATCAGCGGCAGTCACAAAAACAACCCGAACAACAATAACAACAACAAAAACAACAACAAAAACAACAACAAGAACGACAACAACAACAAAAACAACGACAACAACGACAACGACAACAACAACAACAATAACAAACAACAAAAATAACAAAAACAACAATAGTGATAGCAAACAACGACCAGTGCCTATTACAACAGCGACAACACAAACGACCCATCGTCTGTCCTCCACAACCGCCATGGCTAAGTGGTACGGGGCCAAAGGTGTGAACATAGACGACCAGGCACGGTTCGAGTCCATGGGACGGGGTCTATCCACGAACAGGCAAATCTTTCAGCGCCATCGAGATCTCAATCGCCAGTGCGAAAAACAAATACAACACATCTTGAGGGAATCCCGGATAGAGGCATCGAGGCTCACCCGGGTTCAACACGAGTACAAGGAAAAGATCAAGGAACTGGAAAAAGCTGAAAGGAATTCCCTAGCGATGAACTTTGGAGAACCGTCAGCCATGTCGCAGAATCTCCGGAGACCAACTGTCGGGAATTTCCGGAGACACCCGTCCCCTCACCGGAAGCAGAAGAGAATGTTGCTCTTCCGCATTGAGAAGACTGACGGGAAGCTTACCTACATTAGCGAGGTGAAAAAGCCAGATCCGTTAGAGAGGACCCTTTTCCCTAACATGCGGCGAGGGAGCTAACTGAACCCAAAATTGAAACATTACTTGGGGTCTGTTTCGCTGAAAAAAAAAAAAAAATTCTCAGGCAAATAGATGACATTTAGTGATAGACGCTGTATGTGTTCACAGTGGCTATACCCAACAATACGAGGCTTTGTTTATTCACCTGGCTTTAGGCTTAAAGTTTAAAAAGACCGGACGTTGAACTCGTCATTATCAGAGACATAAGTTCCTCAATTCTTTTGGGTCGTGCTCTAATAAAGCGTTTTGACGATTTTCATGAGGACATCTTACACTATGTGTTCCAGTATTTCGTCATCGTGTCTGTTCACAAGATTTCAACGAATTCTTCCGATGTGCCTAAGGTCAAGGAGTATTTTCTCTGATATTACGTCTTTCGTGGCGTTGTGAACTACCTGGTGTCCCTGAAGAAAGACAGAGCAGCTTGCCGAAACCCCACAGAGGGAACATTTCTGTGGGGAACCGGAGACCCTTCAGAGGACGGCTGTGTGGTTGTCATGGTGACTGACATTCACATCTGAAGAAGAAGAAGAAGAAGAAGAAGAAGAAGAAGAAGAAGAAGAAGAAGAAGAAAAAGAAGAAGAAGAAGATGAAGAAGAAGAAAAAGAAGAGGAAGAAGAAGAAGAAGAAGAAGAAGAAGAAGCAGACAATCATGTTGGCTGTAGCAGAAAGTTTAGTGTCTGCCGTCTTAATTGCTGAGTGCTCCATTGTGACATATTACTTGTTGAATGTATCGGTGTCTGTGATGCAGATCTAATGGTTGTATTCTTCGTTGTACACCCAGAATACGAGAGTACGAGACGGCATTGACTAACTTCCAACGTTCTGCGCCCAAAGTATTTCCCTCAGACGACGTTGTCCCTGATAAGAAAGGTCGAAGCACTCACATCCTCGGTGTCGCATGCCTTCCACTTTAGTCCGTTTGGGTATTTTTTGCACAGGAGACCCCCCCCCCCCCCTTCCTCAACAATAACAAAAATTAAATTTAAAAAAGTAATTCACTAGTTTTTGTTGTGTTCTTCCTATCGGGAATTATAAAAAGCAAGAAAATTAAATTGTGAACCTTGATCATAGTATGTATTGAAATCTTTGATAGAGTTGGATTTTTTTTTGGGGGGGGGGGGTAAAAATCGAAAACTCTTGGGCAAAAGTGGATTGCTAGCGACAGCAATGATATAATCTTAGTCGTGTCAATGGTGGAGTGAAGCATCAATGGTAATCATTTACTGACCAGTAGAATGCACTCAGCTTTGGGCAGAACAATCGCTTTATCTTCAAATTTTGCCGTTTTTGCCAGAGGCAGAAACATGTGTAATGATCTAAAACCCTTCACTCCCAGGCCCGAGAATTGAGTAGTGGATACGGTCTGGGAGTAACAAGCACATTCCCGTATTTCATAAATCTCAGATTATCGAAAAACAAAGTCTTTGTAAGCAACTTTTGAAAAACGAATTTAGGGTTTTGGCAATGCCGTTGTCCCCTTCCACTCCCAACGGAGAGTCCAATAACTGATCACCAGCACTCTCGACTCCACAACATAAGCAACAGTGAGCCGATCTCGCGGAGACGACCTTTGTGTTGACAAAAGACTACCCTTCCCTTCTCATTTTCAAACTCTTTTTAAATTCCCCCTCAGCCACTCGAACTTGGTGGATTAAGTCAAGAAAAACTAATAACCTACCTTTAGTGATTAAAAAAATCTAAATGTGCAGATATAAAGTTAGCAAGTAAATCGCAGACCAGATGTTTTCATATTATTGCGCACAGTTTCTTTTATCAACAAGTGCCAATGGTTATAGCACAAAAAGTAGTCGATTGGAATTACACTCATGTGATTGGGCATTACGTATGAATGAACAAAACCTATAAAAATATGAACACATTTGTTTATTTTTTTTTATATAACATATTAAATCAAATGACACTTAAGTTCCCGCAACTGCAAACTTTAAGGTGCTCCCTGAGGGCACTGCCGTGGTAGTATCACAGCTGATGGAGTTTTAACTGAGATGTCAGTACTGCTTAGTGTGGGCAATAGGGGAAGTTGGTTGGGGAGGGGATGGTAGGGGTTGGGAATATGGGGTTATCGGGTTTTGGGGGATGGGGTTTGGAGGGATGGGGTTTGGAGGGATGAGGTTAGGGTTAGGGATGAGTGCTTGATGATGAAGAAAACGGGGGAGGGGGGGGGTGGAGGGGAAGGATGGATTGGGAGTTATAGAGGGTTTTGGCACACACAGTTCTGGGTCAGGTAGTGAAGGAATAGCGGAGAGGTTAAGGGGCGGCAGTTTAGGAGCAATAGCTATTTCAGCCTCAGCCTCCAGGTCTTTCGCAACAAAACTAGAATGGGAGTTTTAGTTACTTCAGTGCTGGTGTTATTTACTTCTTGTTCAGTCTTTCAATGTTTTTTTCCCGTAGGTTTCATTTGCAGATGTAACTATCTGTTCTGAACCTATTGGCACACGTGATGACTAATGACTTTGTCAATCGTCAGCAATCACTTGTCAATTTTACTTTGTATGGAATGAATTAGAGGATAATGTGAATACCATGTCATTATCCTCTCTTTGTTTGCACATGCACTAACAACGTATCTGCCAGATACACGATTTACGTGTCCGGGGGCTCAAGGTGCCCTTGACAAAGAGGTCAAAACAGCCCGCCCCCTGATTCATCTAAATTGCGTCCACATAAAACATTTACAATCAATCAATCACTGTTCCAACCACGGCAAAGGGGTAAAACTATACGAAGTCCTTTACGACAACGCTTTGATTATGTTTGATTAAACAAAAAATCACTTGTCAACGTTCGCAAGAGCTGTTATATTCCCTCTAATTTTTGTTTATTTGTGTTTATTCCTCTTGTCATTTTCCTTTTGATTAATCGCATTTGGAAGAATATAACAATGTATATTGTGTGATGCGTTTACACAATCACGCACTTTCCATAAACAAATAGATTATAATAAGCACGGTTGGTGCTCTGATTCATAACCGAATGTGCTTGTTTGTTGCTGGAATGAATTTGATGTGGGTATTTTTGTACGCTTGTTTCAGCGTGTAAAGAATGCTTACGCACTGATATTTGCTTTTTCTCATTCATTTTCACTC